TAGTCGAACTGGCCAGCCTGATGGATTACCTTACTACAGTTTCTATAGTCTAACTGGCCAGCTTGATTGATTACCTTACTATAGTTTGTATAGTCTAACTGGCCAGCTTGATTGATTACCTTACTATAGTTTGTATAGTCTAACTGGCCAGCTTGATGGATTACCTTACTACAGTTTGTATAGTCTAACTGGCCAGCTTGATGGATTACCTTACTATAGTTTGTATAGTCTAACTGGCCAGCTTGATTGATTACCTTACTATAGTTTGTATAGTCTAACTGGCCAGCTTGATGGATTACCTTACTACAGTTTGTATAGTAGCTTGGATTACTCTAACTGGCCAGCTTGATGGATTACCTAACTATAGTTCTGTATAGTCGAACTGGCCAGCCTGATGGATTTCCTTACTACAGTTTGTATAGTCGAACTGGCCAGCCTGATGGATTACCTTACTACAGTTTGTATAGTCTAACTGGCCAGCTTGATTGATTACCTTACTATAGTTTGTATAGTCTAACTGGCCAGCTTGATTGATTACCTTACTATAGTTTGTATAGTCTAACTGGCCAGCCTGATGGATTACCTTATTATAGTTTGAATAGTCAAACTGGCCAGCCTGATGAATTACCTTATTATAGTTTGTATAGTCTAACTGGCCAGCTTGATTGATTACCTTACTATAGTTTGTATAGTCTAACTGGCCAGCTTGATTGATTACCTTACTACAGTTTGTATAGTCTAACTGGCCAGCTTGATTGATTACCTTACTACAGTTTGTATAGTCTAACTGGCCAGCTTGATGGATTACCTTACTACAGTTTGTATAGTCTAACTGGCCAGCTTGATTGATTACCTTACTATAGTTTGTATAGTCTAACTGGCCAGCTTGATGGATTACCTTACTACAGTTTGTATAGTCCAACTGGCCAGCTTGATGGATTACCTTACTACAGTTTGTATAGTCTAACTGGCCAGCTTGATTGATTACCTTACTATAGTTTGTATAGTCTAACTGGCCAGCTTGATTGATTACCTTACTATAGTTTGTATAGTCTAACTGGCCAGCCTGATGGATTACCTTATTATAGTTTGAATAGTCAAACTGGCCAGCCTGATGGATTACCTTATTATAGTTTGAATAGTCAAATTGGCCAGCCTGATGGATTACCTTACTATAGTTTGTATAGTTGAATTGGCCAGTCTGATGGATTACCTTACTATAGTTTGTATAGTCCAACTGGCCAGCTTGATGGATTACCTTACTATAGTTCTGTATAGTCGAACTGGCCAGCCTGATGGATTTCCTTACTACAGTTTGTATAGTCGAACTGGCCAGCCTGATGGATTACCTTACTACAGTTTGTATAGTCCAACTGGCCAGCTTGATTGATTACCTTTATAGTTTATAGTCTAACTGGCCAGCTTGATTGATTACCTTACTATAGTTTGTATAGTCTAACTGGCCAGCTTGATGGATTACCTACAGTTTGTATAGTCTAACTGGCCAGCTTGATTGATTACCTTACTACAGTTTGTATAGTCTAACTGGCCAGCTTGATGGATTACCTAACTATAGTTCTGTATAGTCTAACTGGCCAGCCTGATGGATTACCTTACTACAGTTTGTATAGTCAACTGGCCAGCCTGGAGATTACTCATTACAGTTTGTATAGTCTAACTGGCCAGCTTGATTGATTACCTTACTATAGTTTGTATAGTCTAACTGGCCAGCTTGATTGATTACCTTACTATAGTTTGTATAGTCTAACTGGCCAGCCTGATGGATTACCTTATTATAGTTTGAATAGTCAAACTGGCCAGCCTGATGAATTACCTTATTATAGTTTGTATAGTCTAACTGGCCAGCTTGATTGATTACCTTACTATAGTTTGTATAGTCTAACTGGCCAGCTTGATTGATTACCTTACTACAGTTTGTATAGTCTAACTGGCCAGCTTGATTGATTACCTTACTACAGTTTGTATAGTCTAACTGGCCAGCTTGATGGATTACCTTACTACAGTTTGTATAGTCTAACTGGCCAGCTTGATTGATTACCTTACTATAGTTTGTATAGTCTAACTGGCCAGCTTGATGGATTACCTTACTACAGTTTGTATAGTCCAACTGGCCAGCTTGATGGATTACCTTACTACAGTTTGTATAGTCTAACTGGCCAGCTTGATTGATTACCTTACTATAGTTTGTATAGTCTAACTGGCCAGCTTGATTGATTACCTTACTATAGTTTGTATAGTCTAACTGGCCAGCCTGATGGATTACCTTATTATAGTTTGAATAGTCAAACTGGCCAGCCTGATGGATTACCTTATTATAGTTTGAATAGTCAAATTGGCCAGCCTGATGGATTACCTTACTATAGTTTGTATAGTTGAATTGGCCAGTCTGATGGATTACCTTACTATAGTTTGTATAGTCCAACTGGCCAGCTTGATGGATTACCTTACTATAGTTCTGTATAGTCGAACTGGCCAGCCTGATGGATTTCCTTACTACAGTTTGTATAGTCGAACTGGCCAGCCTGATGGATTACCTTACTACAGTTTGTATAGTGCAACTGGCCAGCTTGATTGATTACCTTACTATAGTTTGTATAGTCTAACTGGCCAGCTTGATGGATTACCTTTCTATAGTTTGTATAGTCTAACTGGCCAGCTTGATTGATTACCTTACTACAGTTTGTATAGTCTAACTGGCCAGCTTGATTGATTACCTTACTATAGTTTGTATAGTCTAACTGGCCAGCTTGATTGATTACTTACAGTTTGTATAGTCTAACTGGCCAGCTTGATTGATTACCTTACTACAGTTTGTATAGTCTAACTGGCCAGCTTGATGGATTACCTTACTACAGTTTGTATAGTCTAACTGGCCAGCTTGATGGATTACTACAGTTTGTATAGTCTAACTGGCCAGCTGATTGATTACCTACTACAGTTTGTATAGTCTAACTGGCCAGCTTGATTGATTACCTTACTATAGTTTGTATAGTCTAACTGGCCAGCTTGATTGATTACCTTACTACAGTTTGTATAGTCTAACTGGCCAGCTTGATTGGATTACCTTACTACAGTTTGTATAGTCTAACTGGCCAGCTTGATTGATTACCTTACTATAGTTTGTATAGTCTAACTGGCCAGCTTGATTGATTACCTTACTATAGTTTGTATAGTCTAACTGGCCAGCTTGATTGATTACCTTACTATAGTTCTGTATCTTTGTATAGATTTTAAATGACCAGCCTAGCAGCTAACATTTTATAGTTTGTTTAACTTCTAAAATAACAACAAAGTAATGACAATTAAGAGTTTGTGTAGTTCCCAACTAACCTCATGATCTCCTGAACACTATTCTTGCATACTAATTTGTATCTTGTTTATAGTACAGTACACATTACCAAATGGTCCATTAGAACATATTGATAAAAAATTTGGTTGCAGTATTAAGGAACTGGTAACTAAATCATTGATTGTTTATTACTGTTAGTTATGTATGTAACACCTTAAAGATCTAGCTGTGGGAGCAGAACCACCACATGTTGAAACCATTATCTTTGGAATGGGAAAGTTGTGAACTACACTCCGTATCATTCAGAATCTAACAGCTAGAGAATTATGGTAATCCTAGACTATTGATAAGAACCTTGGTTATCCAGACTGTAATATCAGGGTCCACTAGCTGGAATTTTGTATTTCTACAGTTTTATTGAAGGGTCATATTGTAAAAACAGGCCCATCCATTGCTCTTGGATTTTCCAAAATACTGAGGAGTTTACATATAATACCGTACAGTATTTTACATCCAGTCTACACTAGAGCTGCTTTGAAGAAATCTAGTAATTACTCTTATGTTGTATTGAATTAGTCATAAATTGACATCCTTAAGCTCTACAGTACTTTTGAAAACTCAACTGGATTTCAGCACACAGTACAGTATTTCTATCTCTTGCTGTGTTCAATAAAAAATACAGATATCCTTATTCAGACACTAAAGATGCAGTTTCAAAGTGTTCCAGCATATAACAAAGAGCTGTATTTTCTGTGTTGTTGGGTTGATGCAAGTACTGTAATTGTGCTTGGCATATTGCTGTGTGGCTCGTCACATTCACTTGTAAGTTGTTTTGATATTTCTAAATCAATACAACTTTATACAGTCAAGTCGTTAATTTACTTATTGACATAAATGCAGATTTATTAAAAAGATTAGTCTCTATGTCGCAGTTTTTTGTTTGAATTTGCGTTTCAGTGTTTCATATATACATGTTGAACTATATTCTGCAGTAATAAAATAATTTTACATTTAAACATTCTCTTCAGAAAATAGTTTTAGGAATAAAAGGTTCCTTGAGAGTTAAGAGCATTATCTTTTTACCAAGTGCTTCTGCATCATCATTCATTAACACATCAAATTGGTATGTACATAAATTATATACTGTGCTAATAATGCTAATATTTAAGCTGTAACTGTTTAGGATGTAAGCAGTGGCAGCCAGTGATGTACAGTTACAACTATATAAATGATGTCATTGCTGTACTTGCATTCCAACTTCTTCATACCCAAATTGCAGCAACAGTACTATGCATAGCTTCAAGACAACCACTAAAAGCTTGTGGCACCATCAGCTTGGAGCACTGTCTCAGTGCATCGTGATTTAAATAAATTTTTCTTAATCTATTTCTTCCACAAATATCTTTTAACAATTTTTAACAATAAGGAATTTGGTAATACTGTACATGTCTCTAGATATTTACTCGATACAGATTTAATAGCTGCCATGAAATTGTCAACTTATTAGGGAACAAATAGTGCAGGCCAATTTGGAGTAAAAATTACTTTATGGCTCTACATTATTTAAAATAAAAATGTGAGTGGTACTGGCGCTAAACTGTCATGAGCCAGACTGTGTGTTAACGTAGCCAGTACTGAGATCATTAATGGTGCCAAGTGTGTACAATTAATGGTCTGGGGTTCGTTCTAGCCACCACCCCTCAGAGGTCCCCGTACGGTTCGCCCGCCCGCTCTCCGGTGCACACCCCCACGCACACCCCCCAGTACCCAGGTGCGCACAAAACCCCCTATGATGTGTACATCCACTCACCACTAAACTCACCAGTTCATGCACTACTGTCCTCATACAGTATTATCAGATAATATACAAGCAATGTAACCTTATTTTTTATTATGAATTTTGGTTCTCAGGAGATCTGATGAAAGCCAGAATGCATACTAAAATTTCTATTTAGTTAATTCTTGTCTGTGATGGAATAGAATTTGTTCATTATTTTTGTTATATGAGACCTGGATTGTTTGAAATGAAGGGTTTAGTGTTGGGGTATGGCACAGTGCCCTGTGGAGTAGTTGCCATGTTCGCGAATGAAATTAATCAACTTAACAATGAAAACAATGTGAACCCCTATGCATTAATATCGATATCAGTAAGTGTTGCTACCCGCACTTTACAGAGTATTTGTGTGAGCTTATGAACTCTTAAAAAGCACTGATCACCAACCTCGCCCTGTTGTTGCAAGCACACACACACAGTAGTGTCATAGGCACCTTTCCTCAGAATCTTTGCGTGAATTACTAACTTTCATTTATAGTTTGTTTACATTGGATGTAGATTATATAAATCCTCCCTCTTTGTAACCATGGATGATAAATTAATATGATTTTTATTGCACCCAGTCTAATATCACTACCCTTCCCCACTGTTACATTAATACCGTTACCCATATTCAGTTTTTATAATAATTTATCAGAATAGGTAGTTGCATGACTTTATGTTGCATTATTCAGTAGAATATTGATTTATCTTGCATTATATATATATATATATATATATATATATATATATATATATATATATATATATATATATATATATATATATATATATATATATATATATATATATATATATATAGATAAAAGGAAAAGAAAACACTGTGTTTTCTTCTTTTTATCACATATACCTAGACACACCTACAGTGATTTACTTGCATATATATATATATATATATATATATATATATATATATATATATATATATATATATATATATATATATATATATATATATATATATATATATATATATATATATATATATATATATATATATATATATATATATATATAAAGTCATATTATAGAAATATAATATAATATAACTATAAATTAGACCATACTTGCTGAAAGAGAATAAATTACTTGGCTTTGGTAGATTTATACCATATTGTATACTGCATTCTTAAACTCTCATGTGAGCTGAACCTCACTCATTAGCCCATTTGGTATAAAAATAACAAATATTAAATTGAAAATAAAACTATTATTGAGTGAATATAGTCATTAAGTACAGCACCTACTGTAGTTTATTGGTCAGAAAAGATTTATGGAAACATATATATCTCCTCCCTAACAGATTATAAACTATCATATATACAGTATATCTTTGGTCATATAAATGAGTAGTTCTCATTCTTCATTATCTTATAATGAGAGAGAAGGTACAAGTCTTATGTTTGTAGCAGCTGTAGTGTTGGGGTGGTACATATAACAGAGCTACCTGGGATACTTCTCACTGAAGCATCATTTGCCATCCTGTGCTTAGTTACCGTACATCTTATGTTGTGCTGCAGATAGGGAGATCTTCTAGAAATCATGTTTATTAAAAAAACTAAGTATTGTAATGAAAAGGAACACATTTCATTGTTGATACTTTTCTTTGCAATGTTAAATCAGTATTATTGTAAACAAATAAGATTTGTATTATTTGGCAGTGCAGTGTTGTGTAAGGCAGCTTTTTTTTCCAATCTTGTGGCTAATAAGTGTTTGAATTTGTAGCGCTGTTGTCAAGTTGGCTGTGAAATATTCACTATACAGTAGTTCTTACTGGGTATGCACACTATTTCTTGCACTACTTGCTCGTTGCTTGTGTATTGTTGTCTCTTGACTGAACAATAATGTAATGTTTTTGATGTTTCGTTGTTAGCATAGAACATTATTACATGAACATATTTTGTACTTTTATCATTGTTTGTGATTGTAGTATAATGTGGGTGTGTGTGTATGTTTATCTCTATGTTGAACTTGGTAGATATTTGCCTAATAACTCTTGTATTATTATAGATTTTTTTGCAGGATTTAATGCAATTGAATGAAACATGAAATATGGCTAAGTGTGTGTGTGTGTGTGTGTGTGTGGGTGTGGTTACCTATAATATTATGACTAGTGATAGATGTACACATGTGCATGATTAGACTTTTAATAGTTCTCTTTCAGCCATCACTCAGTTTTCTTAACCCTAATTTATGTGTCAGCTGAAACATTCATGGATGACCAGTAGTTTTAGCCTTTCTGGTCAGTGCAAAATTTCTTGGTTGTTTTATATATATATATATATATATATATATATATATATATATATATATATATATATATATATATATATATATATATATATATATATATATATATATATATATATATATATATATATATATATATATATATATATATATATATATATATATATATATACTTTTTTTTAAACAGAACCCATTATTTAATTTACCACAATTTTTGTGATTGATATACAGTATCTGTGTCAGGGAATTCTTGTGTAGTGTGTCTCCTGTGTCAAGGATACATATACTGTACTTAGATCTAGGAAATAGAAGCATGACATTTATGTTTTTTTTGTGTGTGCATCATCTATGATAACTTGTAAGACATAGTAGGAGATAAACTATAGTGGTCATCAAGACAGAGTAATGGACTGTTCAGGTGATTTCCTATAATCTGTTTGTAATGTATATAATATTTGATTTATTTATTTTTTCTTAACACTGTACATTACTCCATTACCATGTTTGATGCCACTATTTGATATATGGTATATGTACAATATAGAGATTACAGTATTTCTTAGGCAGTCATGCTGATGATGTGCATTGGAGATAAATGATTGGATACAAAAGTCTCATTGCCAGCCATTGTAGACAAGAACCTAAGCGGTACCTGCCTCATCACCGCATGCTTCTTAGCTTGTCGCAAGTCGACACGGTGCAGGCTTGATTCCGCCCCATTAGGTCGAGGCTTTACTCCTTAGAAAGCAGGGGTTTTGAGAGTGTCCTGTATGTGACTCTTGGTAATTTTTAACTTCCTCCCCTCACCCCCTCTGTCTACAATTATAAGGTGAATCTGACACAGTGCACATGATTATTGGTATAAACCTTAGGACAGTTTCACTGAACTACCACAAAGATTGTTGAGAAAGCCTGTGGTCAGTTTGTAATAATGCCATTGCTGTGCGCATACATCAGACTGCAACACAATCTTCTTAGGCATAGTCATCAACTTACAGTGGTATAAAAATGATTTGTCAAATTTTTCCAGTGACACATAAGAATTTGTGTCATAACTACCCCAGTGGTATGGGGCTGGCAAAGGTCCTGAAGAGGTATCAAGTTTTGACCTTCACTTGACTATAAATCCTTTTTGTACACCATACAGAACTTAAATTCACAAGGGGAGATGTTTTACAGGCGAGTTGAAGTAGGCTTTCAACCTTCCACCTGCCATAGCTCTGACACAGTATGTAACCATGTCAGAAATTAAATGCTTGTAGTATTTCTGATGATCATTTCTTCATTTCTGAAAGTATCTTATGCACAAACACTGTATATGATCTGCCTATTATTTTTATCATCCAAAATATTCATATCTTTAATTATACAGTAATACAATCTCTGCTATTGCATTATATTTACTTTATAGACCAATTTAAATCACCAGCTATGAATTTGATCTAGCCAGAAAAAAATAGAAAAACTAAGCAGCAACTAGTACGTACAGGTATTCCTCTTTTAACATGTGTTCACACAACACAATTTCACATTTATAGATCACCAATTAGGAAACACCTTTCACAAAACAATAATATGTATGCAGTTAACACATCTATCGACAATATGTTCTGAACAAAGTTTCTTTGTACTTACTTCTGCCCATGACCATTCGCTTCACACTCATCATATTCACTTGCTAAACTTTGCTGTTCTTTCATGATTCACCAATGGCATCACATAATAATACAGTAATACTAGCTGGTCCTTTATTTTTCAAAAGCAACAATTCTTCCAAAGAATTCACTAGTGCTTGAAATACTACAAAGGACCTGAGAAAAAAGGGAAAACAATATTACAAAAAAGATCACAAAAAGTGACAGTTTGTAAATCCTTTACCTCTGGCAACTCTTGGCCATGATTGGAAATCTCACCCCCTCGCAGTCTTTTGACTTAGGTTGCATTGGTAACAGGAACAGTTTTTTTTATTTTTGTAAACATTGGGTAGAGTGATCCAGACCCATATTGCACCCTTAAAGATGCATCATCCAGCCCACGAGACTAGTGGGAGGAACTAAGGTGGTTGATAGGGCTGGTCCACTGTTCCTGCATTACTGCTTATGGCGTGAGTACTCTCAGCGTGTGATATGGCTGAACGGGAAGGGTTGCACCAGCACAGGAGTGTTTAGTGACTCAATTTGCATCGAAAGACCATGACAGGGTTAAATTGTACCACTTCCTAAACCCATAATTCTCCATCACCGTAACCTCTTTAGGATCATAAGCTTTCAAAAGAAGAAAGGTTTTAAGTTGTTTTTAAAGGCCTTCACAGAAGTTGGCTGTTTCATGGATGCAGGCAACTGATTGTACAATCTGGATGCTCTATAGGAAAAAGAGTGGGCAGCAAAAGAACATTTCCATACTGCTCTAGGCTCCTCAAGGTGTGAGGGATCATCACTACTCTGCAAAACTATTTCAGAACTTGTGGTCAGAGAATTTAGTAGGTTCGGAAAAATACTTAGGATCATCAAACATAAGTGCCTTAAAAGTCATTAGACAGAGTTTGAACTCGATCCTAGCCTTAATTGAAAACCAGTGCAATTAGGTCAAGAATGGGGTAGTGGAAGTCCTCGGTGGGAGAGAAAAAATAAGCCTGGCCCTCTTCAACACTGTCTGTATTTATTTCAGTAGTTAATAAGGTACCGGTAAGCAGACCCATAAAGAGTGACAATAGTCAACCCAAGAAAAAATAAGTAAATGTAATAGTGTCACAAGACACTGTCTATCCAAAAACTGTTTCACAACATATAGATTTTGAATATGAAAGTTGCAACTTGTAATCACTGAATTTATTTTATCTTTAAAATTTAGTTTTGAGTCAAAGTACACTCCAAGATTTCGAACAGAATTGACAGGACGGAGTTATACAGTACTTCCCCAAAGTTTAAAGAGCCAAAATCCACTGTGCTATCTTCCCTCCTATTTCCTCCGACTATAATCTCGGGTTTTGCCATCATTCAGCTTAAATTTTCTCCTAGCCATCCAAATTTTAACATCAGATATCAAGGGTTTCATTATCTCCTCGTTGGCATAGAAATGATACGCAACATGATGAACATCCAGTAGAGATGCAAAATTATTGGTATAGACTGTAAACCGAAGTAGTCTCAAAACTGATTACTGTGGGACTCCAAACTGAAATGGTTCCATCAACCATCACACATTGAGATCGCTTTAACTAATAAGACTCGAACAGTGGGAGTTCATCATTGCAGACACAGAATGATCAAAGTTTTTGAAGTAACAGATGATGGTCCATTGTGTCAAGTGCTGCAGAGAGATCCAGCAAGAGCAGAAGGAAGGACTTTCCCGTGCAAGTGTCTATTATCAAATCGTTAGGAGGCAGTATCAGTTGAAAGATACTTCCTATAGGCTGACTGGACCAGAAGGATCACTCCATTTCTCTCTAACAGAGAACGTAACTGATCCAGCATAGCACGCACTATGATTTTTTATATGAGTTACAGATTGGAGACCGGATGATAATTTGACATATTTTCAGTATCAAGACCAGGTTTCCTAAAAAGCAAGTACAGTATTAAACAACAAGAAAGTTTTAAAATATTAATTTCATGTAATAAGTATAAAAATACACAAATAAAAGCAAGAATATTTAAAAAGAAATAATGATAATGAGTTTTATTATGAGGTTACGTATAGATATATGCGTGTCATTATTTCACCATTATGCATCATTCAGTGGTGATCCTGACTCAACACACAGCCACTCTATATCTATGCAACCAGATTTTTTTTTTATTGTAACAAACAACAAATGCCACCACACCACACATAGCTCATAAACTCAAGCTCAGATCTTTGTGAGCACTTTAAATTTGAGAGTATGCAGGTTCTAGAGTATTTTTGAATTTGGATTTTTTACCAGTAACTTTGTAATAATTTGTCTTTACTTTTTTGGAATGTATATACAGTAATGTCTCCGTTAGCCGGAATCCCTCAAACCCAGAACTCAACGATGGCCAGATTTGAAATTTTCTCGTAAAATCGTTCCCAAAGCCAGAATTTTTCAGAAAATTCAGGCTTTGGGAACGATTTTCCGAGGGGCACATTTTTTTGGAAAATTCTGAGAAAATTTTTCTGATACCTGGAAAATTCCGGGGATGGGGGAGTTTTTTCCGGGTTTGAAAGATGAAAATCTGGTGCATTTTCTGGAAATAACGAGAAAATTTTTCCGTTACCCGTAAAATTCCGGGGATGACATATTTTTCCGGGTTCGAGAGATGAATTAATGAACAATTTCTGGAACTTCTAAGAACATTTTTCCGTTACCCAGATAATTCCGGGGATGAGGGATTTTTTTCCGGCTTTGAGAGAGTCATCTCGTTACCTGGAAATCTCTCATTCCTGGAAGTGCTCTCCACCAATTTTCCGGCTAATGGGGATATCACTGTATTCTGTCATGTTAACTGAGGAATACCTGTCACTTGTTTTACTTTGTAGTATTTACTATTTCATTCATGACATGCAAATAGTGTGTGTGTGTTTGTGTGTGGTCATGCGTGTGTATGTATCTTGGCATACAAATACAGTTGGTGTGGATGAGTGGATTTATGTTTAAGCAGATGGAGAGTGTATGTACTGTACATACACTGTGTTTTATGCTTGCAAATATATGTGCATGTATTATGAGTGAGTCATGTATACTCATAGATAGAAATACAGTATATGCAGAGATATAAAGAACTTTTATTTGTGCAAAGAAATGACACATAGTCAAGGAGAGTACCAGTAGTTGTGATCATTGCTGTGCAGATGGAAGGTTGTTGTTCTGCCTCTCGATGAGTAAAGGCGAGAATGATCAGGGTGTTGGAGTCTTATTATTATTTTTGGCGGGAAGTTGTGAGCTGTTTTTTATAAGCCGGACGAGTGGAATAAAGTAACATCTTTTGTCTTGCTTTCTTGTTTATCTAAATAAGAGCTGGTCATTATTATAATAATGTGCCATTAAAAATAAGATACTATAGTTATCTTGAGAGGTCATACAGCCTATCTCGGAATGAAAATACAGTACGTATCTGCATGTTAAAGAGAATATCAATGGTTTGTGGTGGTGAATAAAATGTGAAATTGGTGGGGGAATACAGTACAGTACTGTACATGGTTTCCATACACATTGTCTTTTAGACTTAAGCAAACATCTTCACGTCTTATGTATGTTTTAAAATTTAGTCTTATTATATAAGTCTTGCCCCTCTACACAGTAAGGAAACTGTGTAGACTTATGATTTAAAATTTGATATTGTCGTATACTGTACCTTGAATTTCTAGGTTATCTTCCCTTGACGAAGATACCAATGGTTCCTATCAATACTTACTTAAGTGTTCAGTCTATAGTGATTTAGTCACCTAAGTATTTTAAGATTTTGTTCGTGTGACAAAGAATATATTTTTTTAAATTAAACATTCACAATTTTAAATGTGTACACTACTGGGTTGTGGTCTAACTGATGTGTGTGGGTTTCTGGTGCGTGCAAGCAGGCTCATCCCCCCTGCCTTCCCCCATGAACTCGGGCCAGCCCAACTGGGACCCTCTCTTCCCCCCGGGAGGCCCCCCGCGCTCTGCTAATGGTAAACATTGCTCACCGTGCACCCTACTGCCATAGCCTCTTATGTTTGTCTGTCACATACATGCACACACACATGGATACACATCGACAAACAAATACTGTACACAAGTACAAACATACATACACAGCCTAGGTTAACATGCACAGCTTAATTTTCTCAATGCTCTCGACAATAAATTGACAGCACTAATGCCTCATTTCCTACAGGAAAGGAGTTAACTTTATTTAATCCATAACCATTAGTCCTCTGAAATGTAGTTAGGAAAGCTTTTGAACATTGTCTAGACAGACAAACTGTTGGTTATGTTGTGTGTTGTTGTGTGGTGCACTGCATGTCATCCATTGTGTGCTGCTGCACTCTGGCTGTAGTTTTACATCTGCTGAATAGAATTGAGTTATTCCAGAAAATCTGATTAGATAAATAATTTTTTAAGTAATTTTGCAAGTTGTAGAACACAAATTCTGAAATCTTGTTTAGAATAGGATGCGAAGGCAACATGTTGAGACTGCACCTGTATTATCAGACATCCTCCTTGCTCACTCATCTTCATGACAAAGAGAGCTGCTACACACTGCATGGGGACCTGCTCTTGCATAAGTTGGTTTTTCACGCTTGTGCAATGGTTTTGTTCTTGTGTGTTTTTTCACCTTGCAAATTAGTGTGTGTATTAGTAAACTGTTGCGGTAGAGTTCCTGTAGCTGCTGAGATGGCTGGCCGTCTTCCTCGCCCTTCCATGGTACAAAGATCAGGTTTTAATTGCAAGCACACCTTGGCTAAGTAGTTTCCAATAGTCTTCACATAAGTGTAGCACATAAATTTGCCTGTGAACTTAAAGGTGGGTTGTCACTTGATTTCTTTATTTTATGGTAACGTTATATGAGTGTTATTAAACAGTGCAGATGGACATCACTAGTTTTCATGCACTTGGTTTGAATGTGGTATGTGTTTGTGTGTGTTTGTAAGTATCTTATAGAAAATTCACGTATGTTGCATTAGGACACTTAAAAATTATTGCTGTCCCTACAGAAAAGAGAGAAAACATTAATCTATACAACATATTTTAGAAGACAAGGATCTTTTTCTGTTGCAATTAAAAATGAAACAGAATTTATTTGTCGTTGGTTTATTCTAGAATGTATCATGTTCACTGTGCTCCCCAGTATAAATATATATTATGCTTTTGATGAGTACTGCAGAAGTAAAGTAACAAAACAAATTCAGTACAGTAATTGAAAAATCAGCTTTTTTAAGGTACTGTACTGTATATAGATGGGTGTTTTTGCTTGATTGCAATTTTGATTAGTGAGATTTTTTATATGCATGTAAATTAGATCAGACAAATTTATCACATATATTCAAGTACTGTAGTTTAGATGTAGGAGGGAGCCTTGGTGATAATTGAGTTATTAATTTTTTTATTAGGGAACCTTAATTAGGTACTTAGAAACACTAGCATAGTTGATCCTTACCTGTGAACTTCCCCCGGTGGCTTTGTTAAGACTTGTGTTGTGTTGTATCTCAGGGTGTTGTGTCTGCACAAAACTAAGACAGATTAAGAAATATGGCATACTGCCTTGATGATTAAATCTGCCTTACGTGTTAGTAATGATAATGTAGGTTCATTCTAGAGGCTTGAAATAAGAAAAGATTGGCATGTAAAAATAATAAAACAAAATTAATTTTATATTACACATACAATACAGTATAGCTAAAGTATATACAGTACAGTATTATGCTACACAGAGTACCTCTACATAGTGAGTGAAACAAGTTCAAACAAATATTTTAATTTTTATGAGAATGAATAGTTAATGAGTAGACTTGTAAGTGAGCATTGAGTTAAGCCCAAGGTAGCATTTCAGGAAAGCATTATTAATGCATAAAAAGTTAAGAATCTTCATAATAGCCCTCCCTGTTATGACATGTTACTGTGATAATGAGATAGTGTATTTGTGACCAATAAGTAGCAAGAATTGGTTATAATAGTCTTTAAGTAGCAACAAGTGCTTATATTGACCAATAAGTAGCTACAATTGGACAATAATAAATAAATAGCAACAAGTGATTATAATGATCAATAAGGAGCAGCAAGTGATCATAATGACAACAAGTAACAAGTGTATATAAAAACCAATAAGTTGCATTAGGTGGATATATTAGGCACCAGTAGGAAGGCTGAGGAATAGGATTCTTACATAAGTGGAAGTAAATTGCCACATGCTGACAACGGATAAGTCGTGACTTGTTTTTTCAGATTAGTCAGTTGGGAAGAATTACGTACGTTTACACCATATTGTAAGGTGTGGAGAATTTTATTCTCCAATTATGTAGCTACACATCTCTTAGTAATCTTTGTTCTTGTGTATGTCATGGAAGGCACAATGATAGTAACTGTGTTTTATGTGATTACAAATAGCTTGAAAAAATATATTGATGTAGTGTATTGTCTTGGAAATAAGTGAGGATATTCAAGTGTGGTAGCAGTTGGTATTAAAGTTGATGACCATTTCTCATGTCTAGATGAGAAATAAAGTATAACCATGCCTAACTAACTCTCAGACAAGACAAAGCTGAATACAAAGAAATAAAAACATTACAGTATTTCTCCTAACTCTTTCTGCTAACTAACCAAGAGCTTCACTACAATTCTTTTGCTGTTAACCGAGTTAGCTACTAATATATTCATGTTGTGTACTGATGATTTTGTCTTCTTCTACTGAATATCTTAAACCTATTCTCATAAAACTTATGCTTCAGGGGTTAAGTTGAATTGTTCACTCAGACTCATGTTTCTTATTCATATATAGTATAATGTTTAAATGTAGTTATCATGTATTTTTAGTCACACAATTCATTTACTACAGTAGTTACTATACAGTACAATATTCTTTTATTATGTGATATATGGAGACCATGTCCTCAAAAATATGCAGTACAATTAAATACCATGATAGTGAAATATTATGATAGCCAGCCCCAGGAAGATTTAAGGTCAGAAGCATGAATACAAACTTGTTTAGGATGTTCACTTTATTAGACAGAGATAATTTAATGATTTAGGAATGAACTTCTGATCATGCAGTTAAGATGAAGATTGGACAATGGCCATGAACATTTAGCGTGTGAATTATGCCGTGAATTATTTCACAGACATTCAGTTGCTTGACTAATTGTCCAATAATTTTAAGGCATGGTCATGTATCAGAAATACATGTACAGTAATTCATCATTTTCCTTCCTATTCTGCAGCATCACCTTTGCCATCACCCATGAAGAGCCCAGCACGTTCCCCCATGGTGCAGACACCCACAGCACATGCCCTCTATGACTTTGAACCTGAGAACCCTGGAGAACTTGGCTTCAATGTAAGTGTTAAGGGATAAGAAAGAGAGAAATATTTCAGTCTAGTGTGGAGAATTTAAGTGAGGAAAACAATATGTTCTGTTGAGGGTAGAATAAGAAAATTGAGAAGGTCTTATTTACTTTATTTATAGCAAATATTTAATGCAATTCCTTTTTCAAGTCCATTTCCATATATGTACTGTATTACTACATTTGGTAGCTGATTCAAACACTCCTACAACACTGATCTTGTGACAGCTGATTCAAACACTCCTCCAACACTGATCTTGTGACAGCTGATTCAAACACTCCTACAACACTGATCTTGTGACAGCTGATTCAAACACTCCTCCAACACTGATCTTGTGACAGCTGATTCAAACACTCCTTTAACACTGCTCTTGTGACAGCTGATTCAAACAACCCTCCAGCACTGCTCTTGTGACAGCTGATTCAAACACTCCTTTAACACTGCTCTTGTGACAGCTGATTCAAACACTCCTCCAACACTGATCTTGTGACAGCTGATTCAAACACTCCTTTAACACTGCTCTTGTGACAGCTGATTCAAACACTCCTCCAACACTGATTTTGTGATGCCAGCTGCACTTATCTTTTGGTTGTACCTAAAGCATTTTTGAAACTATTGCTTGTAGAATGATATTACACCAATAGCTCAGCATTCATGAGGAATAGGTTCCTTGGATGCTTGCGAATGTAAAATTTCATGAATAACATTCTTTAATATCCTATCTCTAATATCATACCATAAATTAGGGTACTGAAGTCTAAAAAAATCTTAGAGTAAAAAACTTTACTTAAGCCTAAATACTACACAGGTGTGTACAGTTACTTTATAGAATTATTATATGCTAAGATAAATAAATTCAATGAGAAAACAAGTGAATGTGATGTGAGTTTCAAATGGATTGCAGTAGTGGCGACACGTCATCTATTGCTTGCTCCACACAGCCTGCACCACCACCACCAGTGCGCAATCAACACACACACACATACGAATGCACGTCTGACACGCAACACTGTGAATTAAACAGCTTACGTACTGATTATGTTTTCCTGTAACAAACTTATGACTGAGAAGAATACAGGGATAAGCCACGCCCCCTCAGGATCACATTAGTGAGTGAGTAGGAGAAATGGGAGGTTATTCGGCAGACAAAAAAATTAGCAAGGAGCGAGGCATCTCGGAGTGTATTCATTCATCCAGATCGCACGGTAATGCAGAGGGAACAGCACAAGAAGCTTTTGCAGGACTTGAAGCAGAAGAGGGAGGAGTCAAGGAGGAACGAGGTTGGGTGTAAATGGGTTATATTCAGTGGGGGTAGTGGAAGCAAGTGTGCCGACACAGGGCCAGGGGCCAGCAGCGCACCCCCCACCCGCTCTATCCCTCACCCGGGAGGTGGCACCAGCTCCGCTCATCAGCCGGTAGGAGGTGAGTGCCGTGTAAACAGTGGCATTTCTAACCACACCCTACAAAATACAGTGTACTTAGTAAATGCTGCAGCTTCTGAGAATGGAGGGGGCGCTGAGCTACTACTAAGAGCAGAGACGTTACCGAGAACGAATTCTGGCTGGAATGTCATGTACACTAAAACTGACTTGTTCCTTTATAAGAGAGAGGAGTTTGAAACACTACTGAAGGTGCACCAATCCGATATTGTAGGAGTTGAAGAACTGTTGTGCAAAAACAGGAGAATCGACCCAGAGGAATGTGAGTTCAATATTGCTGGATATGACTCTTTTACGAACCTTTCTCAAGCAACTTGCAAGAGGGGTGTGGTTATCTATGCTAGGCAAGACCTTAGAGCCAGCCAGGCAATGGTACAGGGAGAGGATGTTTTTGAAGAACCCAAGTAGTGTAAAATTAAATTAAAGGGAGGGGACTTACTTAGTGTCAGGTGTATCTACAGATCCCCAAACTGTGGCCCACTAAATCAGAGGAACTTAAGAGCCCCAATAGACAATGCAGCGATGCTTAACCCTAGCCGCCTCCTTATCTTGGGGGACTTTAACTATGGCGACATCGACTGGAGAAATGAGTTCACCCCCAAATGACTTGAATAACCCTGCTACTCTTTTTGTAGAAACTCTGAGAGATAATTTTCTGTTCCAACATGTTAGAGACCCGACACATTACAGAGGGGAGCAAACACCCTAGCCACTAGACCTCATCATAACAAACGAGGAGGGTATGGTGGCCAAAATGGAACACCTTGCCTGAGTTGGCACCAGTCACCATACAGTGTTGTCATTCAGATTTAACTGTTACCTAGTTCAAGATAAGGCCAGGCCAAGGTGCAAATATTACAAGGGAAATTACAATGGGAAGAGATGAGGGGTATCCACTGGCCTGCCTATTAAGGCACAAGAACGCAGACACTACGCTGAATGTCATAACTAGTAAAGTGACCCATTTGATCGATAAATACATGCCCAAGACCATACCTAGTGCCTATAGGAATACGAGGGGATCCCTACACATGAACCATGCGGTGGTCGACAAATTTAAGAAAAAAAACAAGTTCAAGACGTGGGTTGGGTCAAACAATAAGAAGGACAGGAGGATGTATGCAAGAGCCAGAAACCAAGCAAAGGCATAGTGTAGAAGGGCTGAAAAGGAGTTCCAGAGGCTGGTTGCAAGCGTACCGCTATGCAAAGTTAAAATTAAAAACGCAAGTTGGAGTATCAGACCTGAGGCTTAAAGATGGTAGTTATGCAGATTCTGACCCGAGGCATTAAACAGCTTCTTTTCCTCAGTGTTCACAAGAGAGGATGCAACTAACCTTCCTGCGTTTGAGGACAGACGGTTCAACACAGCACTGACCCACATTGTGTTCACAGAAGAGGGTATTAGATATAAACTGCCAAAGCTAAAGGTCCATAAGAGTCCTGGCCATGACATGGTGCATCCTAGAGTGCTAAGAGAGTTGTGCAACGAGCTTGCCGAGCCCCAGAAGATAATGTTCTGTAAATGCCTGGATGAACAAAAGGTCCCCAGTGAATGGAAAGTGGCTTATGTGAGTCCTATCTTCAAGAAGGGCGATCGTCACTCCACGAACAACTATAGACCGGTGAGCCTGATCAGCATTATATGTAAAGTACTTGAGAGTATTATCAGAGATGCTGCGATGGAACATCTACTACGAAACAACCTTGTAAAGGATTGCCAACACGGTTTTATGCCGGGGCGCTCCTGCTTAACACAATTGCTCAAGGTATTGGATATTTGGACCCATATTCTAGAACGGGGTGGTAATATTGACAATATTTACCTAGATTTTGCCAAGGCTTTCAACAATGTATCCCACGAAAGGCTGAAAATCAAACTGGAAGGGTACGGAATTCTGGGAAACGTCCTGGCGTGGTTATAAGACTTTCTACATGACCGCAAGCAGTGTGTGGTGATTAATGGCACGAAATCATTATCCTTACCTGTCACAAGCGGGGTTTGTTTGTTTCTAAAATGACATGCCTGACCTTGTACACTCCTCCATACAAATGTTTGCCGATGACTCCAAGTTATTTCGGGAAATCAAGAACCAAGCTGACTGTGAAGAGTTGCAGAAGGATCTCTGTGAGCTCCAAGAATTCTCAAAGAAGTGGCTTCTGAGATTCAATGTCACGAAGTGTAAGAGGATGCACCTGGGGCTTACCAATGGTAAGGAGGCGTATCATGTCCCAACGGGATGAAAAAACTGCACTATTTGAGACTGAATGTGAGAAGGACCAAGGTGTGTATGCTGACAATGAGCTGAAGTTCTCGGGCCATTGCGAGAAGAAGGTAAATCCGGCAACTAAATTATTGGATCTTACAAGAAGTTCGTTCTGATATCTAGACGGTCCGTCCTTCGTAACGATCTTCAAGAGTGAAGTGCTTCCCCATCTGGAGAACTGTCACCCTGTCTGGTCCCCGAGATATGCTAGGGACTGTCAGTTGGTTGAAAATGTTCAAAGGAGGGCCACCAGACTGGTGCCTGCACTTCAGCAACCTCAACTACCCTGAGAGATTGGAGCGCCTGAACTTGCCTAGCTTATACTACAGACTGACAAGGTGCGACCTAATTGAGGTATATAAGCATCTCAAGGGGCACTACTCAGTCGAGTGTCCTTACTGGTAGACGCTCGCCCCACAAGGGGTCACAGCTCAAGATTGAAGAAGCCTCAAGTCCAGAAAACTGTGAGGGCAAATTTTTTCGGAGTGAGAGTTCTGAACTCTTGAAACAATCTGCCAGAAAGTGTTGTGACGGCACCAAGTGTGAGTTCTTTCAAGACCAGACTTGATCAACACCTGAGCAGGTTCAGGTACATTCAGGAGCCGATGCAAGCCCAGTCCCTGCCAACAGTGCATAAGAGAAAGCCAGTATATGACTAGTACTTGTCAGCAGTGCATGACAGAGACATGACCGCTCACCCAGGCGGCTAACGAGCCAATCTGTGGTGAAGAGGACAAAAGTAAAGTGTAAAAAGTAAACCCTTAACACCATGAAAAATTGGGTTAGGGGATCCACACCCTTGAGGAGGTGCCTTTTATGAGTAATATTGTACACATTGATTAAATAAAATGTATGCAGAAACCTAGTACAGCATGCCCTTAAAATTAGCTGGGTATGGGTTTCAAAATGGCTGCAAATTAGCAAATCTGCGAATATCATTACTTGTGTGCAAAGAAATGTATACCTATTCCCTTTATGTGTATACCCTTAGGACAATCATTTTTTTCGTTTGTGTGTGTGTGTGTGTGTGTGTGGACACACAAATAAATAATAATGGGAAAATTCTCTCATAAATAATCAGAAACAAGACAAAATTTATCGAAATGTAGAAAAAATGCGAGAGTCTACCCTTAAGTCAACACCATGCTTTGTTATTTAAGTTGGGTTGCCATACGGCAATTTTTTCCTCATAAAAATTACCGTCTCTAGAACGAATGGCATCTGAGCACAAGCTGGGTTGATACATAGATCTATATCTACCCGAAAATACTAGTTGAAAAACAACCATTACACCTCACAACCATGGTTTTCATAAAATAATATACCTGTATACAGTATTGTACCAGGAAATGTGAGGAATAAATAAAAATATTACTAATAAATAAGTTACAACAAAAAATACTATTGCCAAACCAGTAAATAAAAACCAAAGGAAAGTTTATCACAGTCGTCATTTACATAAACTCCTTGCTCTACCGTAGTAACAAAGCTCAGCTTGGATTCCGATTTCCTAGCAACACCCCCCACCAGCTACTTGTTTGCCCTAAGGACAATTATTTCTTTTACTTTTTTCACAATATGTATTTAGGATGGTGTATACATGTAACTGAGTAAAAATAAATTTAGAAAATTACACATATCTACCCAAAAATACTAGTTGAGAAAACCATAACACCTCACAGCTTGGTTGGTCCCATAGCCTGGTGGTTACACTGAAGAGCTAACCTAGCTACAGTGACATGATTAATCACTATTAAACACTATTCTATCATTAACACTAGTAATAACAGTAAATCCAATAAAATATGGCAGGGAGTGAGGAGAGTTACAACTGCAGATGACAGGCTAACTATCAGTCACTCACTCCACTTACCTGCTCCCGTTGCCAGGCGTATGTTTGAGAGAAATACATGACCTTTTCTCTTTTCACTTGTTTGGGCACCTTCCCATGGCTGGATGAAGGTGGTTGAGGGTGTTTGGGACCCATCACAAGCAGAAGAAGCACAGTTGTTAAGAGAGCAGAGTAACACGTGTGAAACGGACAAGTGTTTAACCTGGACTGAATTGGAGTGACCGCACATGGCCCAGCCACCTGGGAAAAGAAAAACACCTTGCGGGACGCCATAAAACTCACAGGCTCCCCGTCCCAGCCGTGAAATTGCCGCTAACTTTCCAACTTTGAAACCACCCACAGACATTCTTGGGTACATCCAGCCCTTACTTCCTTGGGAAGGTGTAGAACTTGAACTTGTATCCTGGCTGAAACACTTATATAAACTCATAGCTTTACTGTGAATAACCTTTTGGTCGACTGGCTCATTTCTTTGACTCACATCCTAAATCCATACACTTAACAAATTCTCCATCTTCTCTATTCCTTGCCTTTCATCTTGATGGAATGAATGGTTGACTCAATTACTCCAGATGCATGTCCAACAGCCAACGCGCTCTTGCCGCTAGCAAGTTTATCCTACACTTCAATTTTCTGTGTAAGAGTCATCATTTTCTTCACTCTGCACCGGATACACTGCCTCCAGTTCATGGCCTTTTGGGTGCCACGAAAATGTTGTAATTCAGATTAGAATTGTTCAGGAGGAAGGAGGAGTAAAAATTCCCACAGCAGAGACGACTCAGACGAGACTGGTGGGAGAACACAGCAGTGTGGCAAGGCAACATGATGTCACATCGTGGCAGATGTCCGCAACTTTTAAAATAAGCATCATATCTTTTTATTTTATTTTAATGAATATAACCCCCTGAGGCTCCTTTGCAAATAGTCAAATCCAGGAATGTTGAGGTTCTGGTGCATTAATTTCCCGGTCATTCCTCATTAAAAAGCCTTCCCTTGCTCCACAGGTCACATTAGTATGCCAAATAGGCATATGCCACAAAAATGTCACATATAGTACAGTGTATCCTCAATTTACACAGTACAGTATTATTTTGTAGTTTTGCTTACATGCACCCAGTTAATCGTATTTATTTTTTTTATAAGTGATACAAACTCGCCTAAACATAGTTCAGCATGGTGGCCAAATAAGCCGAGAATGTTCAATTCTCGCCAACAGTTCTTCCCTGACTGCAGCTGTCTCCACCTATCTTAATACAGAAACAGATATCCCTGTAACCCACAGACTTTTGTGTTGACACTAATCACTACTGTGTTTTTAATTCCAGTGATAAAGAATGCCAAAGGAATATCATATTTAGTCTAAAACTTTCATCAAATATACTCATATACAGTGACCCCTCGTTTAACGAACACCTCGGTTAACGTAATTTCGATTAACGAACTGCCTTCCATAAGGATCTTCAATTCGGTTAACGAAAAAAAATTCGCTTAACGAACTTCTTACGAACCGACCTCAACATGTTTTCGCTTGCACTGACCGGGCAACCAGGTTTAGTATCAGTCCGCCAATACATTAATCGGTTCTAGGGCTTAAATTCCTTACTATTTTTGTAAATATCAAGAAGTTTATACTATTCAATAATTTTAAAAGTTTAATATTCAATTTTTTAGTCATTTTAACAATTATTGAACAAAATTGAAGGTAAAGTGACTAGTTTAATGCGCGGCATCCAGCCTCTTAACACAGCAAACAGGCGTCAGTCTCTCTCTGTTTTCACTGGAGGTAACATCTTGCTTGAGACTCTCTTCAACTAAACGCTTTTTTTCTGTGTTTCCAAGCAAATTATTGGTCATTTTGAAATATATTTTATATATTGACAATATATAATGCAGTGCAGCGTTGATTTAAAGAAAATAATCTTGAATTAAACCAGAGAGCTAAAATTTTATGTGTGAAATGGCGCCATGGGGTGACTTCTCTTCCACCCCAATGCCTTCTCTTCTTCCTTCTCTTCCACCCCCATTCTAAATCCCATCATCATCATCATCATCATCCAGGAGCCTTCTACATACACACCTCAAAGTAAGTGAACTTTTCTACCATTTTTGTTGAATTTGGGAAATTTTCGATGAGCTGGAACCAATTACCCAAAAACCCATTGAAACAATGGTTTCGGTTAACGAACGTTTCGGTTAACGAACGACCTTCTGGAACGGATTGAGTTCGTTAACCGAGGGGCCACTGTATATATATAGTATACACAACTAAACCAGCAACAACTGTATGGGCAAGAAGTGGTGGTGTCAGCAGGTGTGAATGTTATTCCTTAAACTTAATCAATGTTTTATCTAAACAGTGGGTCAAACCAAACATTACTTAAACATAAAATTTTGAAACTTACCTTAACACAATTATGTTTACAGTAAGAATATCTTGAATGCATGAGGCAGGAAGCATCATTAATCACCATGACATGGCCAGTTGACTTAACTCATAGTGTTACAAGGGTCAGGATTTTTTATCACTAAATATGTTTTTAGTGATATCAGATCACATTTTTTTTTTCATATGTATCCCAGTTTGTTTAAGTTGGAAATATTATCTTAGAAACATGAGATAATTATACAATACAGTATAATCAAGGAATAAACTATTGAAATTGAAAATTGAATACAGTATATTTCCTTATTATGAATGTTTTATTTAGCGAGTCCCAGGCAGAGTTAAATTTCAAAAGTTGACAATCATTGCTTCATCCACCACTCACCTGCTGAACCTTTCTGCATTTTTATCACAAAGACTTAGTATAAAACAGCGGATGATGCAGACGACATATACAGTACAGTATATGAAACAAATGATATATAATAAAAATTTATTTCTATATTTGTTAGCAACATAGTGTAGTGTATTTATGATATGAAATGACATATATCAGTATAAATTATAATGAGGGCCACCTGTACTGGCAAATTTAAGAACTAGAAATTGTATTTCGTAAATTACAGTGAACCCTAAAAGGTCCGGGCTAAATGGGGGGGGACCATCTGTCCGAAAAAGTCGATTGTCCGAATCTTCTGGCTAATGTACTAACTGTATAAAAAATATAAATAATGATATAAAAATCACCAAAAATACATTACATATTATCCCGACCACTGGGGTTAGTTATACAGACTTTTTCCTTTGAAAAAGTCATAATTTTGAGCAACATCTTACTGTACTCACTTTGTACTCAAATGTACTCAAATGTATGCTACACTAAAGGACTACAAATTTTATCTCGTGCAAACTATGTGATGTTTATGCTCAAATTATTTGCTATCTTGTAAGGATTCTAGCAATGAAAGTTATATTCTGCTAAATTTAGTCTGTGACATTTTATAAGATGAGAACTTTAAGCCTAAAACTACCTTCACCCTGGCTGGGAGGATGGGGTAGGGGGAGGTGAGGTGTTGACACAGCCAGCGGCTAAGGTTGTGAAGGTTACCGAGTGCATATTTACTTATCTGTCATATAGAGGGAGTTTAAGTTTTTTACTTATAAAATGTCACTGAATTGACTTGGCAGAATATAACTTACATTGCTGGAATTCTTGTAAGATAGTGATTAATTTGACTATAAACATCCTATAGTTTACACTAGACATAAAATGTTTAGTAATTATTTAGTATCATTTGAGTACAGGTTTGCCCTTAGGACAATTATTTCTTTTACTTTTTTCACAATTTGTATTTAGAACGGTTAGTGCATTTAAACGAGTTGAAAAATTGTTGTACTTAAATGTACTACAGGTACACAATAGGACTAAAATTCTTATCTCTTGTGCAAGCTATGTGATGTTATCATGTTTATACTCAAATTATTTACTATCTTGCAATGATTCCAGTAATGCAAGTTATATTCTGCTAAGTTTAGTCGGTCACATTTTATAAGATAAAACTTTAAGCCTAAAACTACCTTCACCCACTTTTGGGAATGCTTCTTAGGGAGGCTTCTTAGCCTAGAACCCCCAAATTTTTTGTCCGAATCTTCCGAAATCCAGATTTACATGGTCCGAATCTTCAAGGGTTCACTGTATTGTGACTCCACTCTACTGTACTAGTTACCTTGAGCATTGGTTATACGTAACATTATGGTAAAGATGAAATTAGTCTTCAATGTGTTTTAAGGAATTCAGTCAAATTAGGGTATCCCTTGTTGTTGAAGAGTTCAGGTAAGATCAGAATTTTCCAGGAAGAATAATTGCATCATAAACAATCTCAAAGGGCCAGCATCTAGGAGTACATCAGTGATAGTCGGTGTAATATTTAATAATCACTATTACAGGAGGGAGACAACATCGCCTTGATCCAACGGATTGATGAAAACTGGTTTGAGGGAACTGTTAACGGCAAGACAGGGCTGTTCCCCGTGAGTTATGTTAATGTGACGGTGCCTCTTCCTTAAAGTCTCTCGCACCATCCACCTCTGCCAAGACCCAGGGGATCCTCAACGAAATGAGCACAGGGGATTGTAGAAAGTGATTGACTCATTTGGTACCATCTTGAAAATATACTGTAGATCTTCTACAAATAAATGTTGCAGTATATTTAAATGAAGTATAGAGGAATTGATTGTATGATGCATCATTTTATTTTCAAATTTTAATCCAATGTAAAATAATTTTTATTTGAAAATATTCAGTGATACAAGAGATTTTCTTTGAAAAGCACATTATTACAGTATTACTGTCTCTAAGGGTGGAAGTAGGCTTATTGTTATAGCCTTGGTTATAATCAGAGTCTTGTTTTGTATACAGCTATATGTTCATTGTTTGTTATGAAAGGGACCACTGTTGTAACTTCATTGTGAAACTGAAAAGAGAATGCCTCAAAATTTATTTAATTGACTGAGTAACATTTTGTAATTGTTTCTTCATTTCATATTCTGTACTTTAGTTTCTTCCTGTTATAGTCAGTGCCTCAGTTTCTTCCTATCATACTCAGTGCTTCAGTTTCTTCCAATCATACTCAGTGCTTCAGTTTCTTCCTATCATACTCAGTGCTTCAGTTTCTTCCTATCATACTCAGTGCTTCAGTTTCTTCCTGTCATACTCAGTGCTTCAATTTTTTCTGTCATACTCGGTGCTACAGTTTCTTCCTGTCATACTCAGTGCTTTACTTTCTTCCTGTCATACTCAGTGCTTTATTTCTTCTTCTCATACTCAGTTCTTTACTTTCTTCTTTTCATACTCAGTCCTTTAGTGACTAGGAAGAAAATTACGTAGTCTGTTTTAGGATTATTGCAATGTTAATGTTTTAATTCTACTTTAGTTTCCAATATCTTATAACTAAAGTTCAGTTGTTAATGAATCCACATTTTAATACAGTATAAACAAGTGTTTGAACATAATTCCACATTATGATGTTACATTCCACATCTTGGTGCCACATTCCACTGTGTGGGATGAGCACTGAATAATTTACAACAGTACACATGCTGGATGTTACAAGTCACTCACCAGAAACATATGTGTATTAGACACTTAACAATGTTAACTGCAGTTTCATGCATACAACTGCTGATGGATGATAAAATGAATTACTGTACTCATATATTCATTGCCTTTAAGAAACTATTTTGTGTACACACACACACACACACACACACACACACACACACACACACACACACACACACACACACACACACACACACACACACACGTACACACACACGTTTTCATATGTAGTATCCAAAACTAATTTCAGATTAGTGTAAGATTCTTTGACAGTTTTGAGGGTAATTTCATGATCAATATTGTATGTTTTTCATCCCTAAATAAACATATTATCATTGCAGGAGATAACTGTAATAAATTTAATTGTAATTATTTCAGTGTATGACTCATCTCAGTGATATTATAATATTTATTAGCAGGTGTGTTAAGTTTATTAGAGAAGGTATATAAGAGGAGTAACCTACAGTAAGGCTCCATGACAAGAAACTTGCTCTGTAAGTTATGAGATGTTGCCATGGGTCTGGGTAGAAGGTTGTAATGAGACTGACACACCTCACAGTGAATAATGCCCCACTGATTATGGGTGAGCCCGGTCCAAACTTCAATCTTCATTCTGAAAGAAACTAGATTTTACAAAATGTTTTACAAGGGAAAAAAGTAGGTTTAGTTGATAATATTTGACTAGCCAGTCATGAAATTCACTTTTTTTATATTGTTAACTGAGGTATAAATTATTAAGGAACATCAGAAGACTCGGTACACCAGTCCTGTCATTAGCAGGTGACTTCATGCTATTGTCATAAAACTCTGTAAAAAATGTGTGATGATAATTTTAGGTGCAACTGATTTCGAAATAGAGATAAATTATCTTAATGAATGAAATGAGCAGCAGAGGGTAGCTCATTTCACTATCCAAAATGGAAGAATACTGTGCAGAGACTTAGTTTGTACAGTATTACCTGCAAATTACGAGAATTGATGTTCTATATATGAAAGTGACTTAGCTGCCTACTGCGCACTCTGCTGGCATGTTACTCATATGTTTGTTCTTTACCATCCTCAGCTTGAGGATTGTCATATCAATACTGTCAAATATTGTATGTCGCTAAATAACCCTCTCATAATTTTAAAGCTGGAAAGCAAAGATATCGCAATAGTCATTCTGCTGTATCTGAGCAAGTTAAAAGTAGTCAGTGGTTGATTTTTACCAAATGGTCAGATATGATCACTGCAGATAATAATGCACAGTTTTGTCTTGAAGCACCAGATGAAGTGGACTTATCATCAGTGACAGGGCATTAGTGTTATTCTCAAATCTAGTGTCTTTGAAAAGTCAGCCAATTGTTGTATATGTAATATTGTGATGTTTTATGTGTCTCAGATGTTAAGTGATGAATTTAAGATTCTGTTAAAGTTGGGAATGTTTGCCTTTATAGAAGTTATAATATTAAGCTGAGTGGAGTTGTGAGGAAGGTCTTTGTTTTGTAACTTGGAAGTCATACTCGGCCATGATTGTGTATCTATCATGCCTTTGCCACTAGACTTTTGTAATGTACTACTATACTTGGCTATGTACCTACAGATTCATTTCATTATATCAATTAACTTTCGCAAACTGAAGAAGAAGAAGAAGAAAAAAATTTAAAGTGGGATAAAATTTTTTAATTTTTTAGGGCCATAAATATTTTGAACATGTTTATGTTAGAAGCCAGTACAGTATGTTTGAGTACACTTATTCCAACTTTATAAATCATTACACTTTAACTATTATTATGTTGTCTTATTTAATTTAAAGCTTGATGTATATTGTTAGAAATTCCTCTTTGAAAAATACTGATGGCAATACAATTGTTATTATGTAGAATTATCATCAGTAAAAATTTAAGATTTGAACAATACTAATGTAATAATTTTGAAATATAGAATTTGGTAGCTATAAAATACATAATATAATAATTATGCCTTTGGAGTTGTGTTGTAAATAATAAAACATTTATGTATATTTATTTTCAAGGAAGTTTTATTGTATGTCTCATTGTACATAGACCAGCATTAGATGTGCTCTAGCCTAGTTGAGTTGGTAATGAAGATGTCTCTTGTGCCCACAAGATGGTTCACCAGTAAGTCTTTCCTTTTTTTATTCAGTCATAATGGTGTTGACACTCAGTTTTGTATGATTAAGGCAAGTTAGGGCAGTTCCATATAATTCTCTTTTATATGCCACCATAAATAAAACTTTTGAGATAATGTGGTATTCACACACACTTATTTACAAACTTACAATAAGGTATTGTGGCATTGAAAAACTTGCATAAGAATTATTGAATTGATATGCTTATGTAAGGACTTACTGTGAGTTTGATGCACTCACATGGATTGTGGTTTCCATTCACAAAGATTGTAACATTAATGCACTTACATAGGGAAATGTAACATTGGTGCATTTACATAGGTAGTGTGAGACTGGCACACCCTTTGTTAAGCATGACATGTTGACATGATCAGTTAATGGAAGAGGGCTCCAAGTATGTGCAGGGCCAGACGTCAGTTTTTGCATCACCTTTGTTATTTTTCTTTTATTGGGGGGGATTTTTCAAGAAGTCATTTATCTGTTTTTGTGTTTTGGTGGATTTTACTTAAAATTGTTTATGAGATATATGATGCCTGAAACCAACCAACGACGGTAACACATACAGCAGGTATTCCCTCAGAATATATTGATGTCATATAAATATTGAGTTTACTTTCCAAACCTTAGGGAATATTTTTGGTCATGGAGCATTAGAGGGGTCATTGGAAATGATTAATGTAAGTTAATGTTGTGCAGTTTTGCAAGTGATATTATTTGGTGGTACCAGTTCCAAGTTGACTTCCCTCCTTACATTTGTACTGTAGTAGAGAAATTCAAATATTGAATTCTGAGATTGCTGTGAATATTCTCTAATCAAAATCTTCTTCCCTTTATGGCGTAATGCATCTTGTGAGAAACTACTTGACAAATGTTTAATTTTCTTTCGCCTTTCTTCTAATTTCAGTCTTTTACATGTTTGACACATTTATATCTTGATGAATATATAACAATAGTTAATAATGTTGTTACTCATAATAAATCATTTGCAGTCTCATTAAAAGCCCATCATAAGTTACTTTAGTAGAAAGATCTTGACAGTGTTAACAAACTCAAGGACACTTAAATAATATTTGCTATAATTTTACATAATGGAGATGTTTCACTTCCATATGAACAGGAGAGGATAGTCTATTGGATTAGAAAGATGACTGACTAAGTACACAGTGTTACCATTGATGGTTCATATTTTGATCTGTCAAGGACATAATGTGCTATTCCCTCCGCCATCACTTATAAGTTGCAAATTAAATATCATAAGAAATAAGTGTAGGATTCTGAGACAAACTTGCAATTAAATGGTACATTCCACATGTAAGTTATTACGTGGGTAAAGGATGTGACCTAGCTTGCTTTCCTCTTGACTCACCTCTGTAGCCATCTTCTCTATTTTCTTCCACTTTCTCTGCCTTGCTGTATGTAACTGTACCCCTTACCGATGTTCAGATCTTTTAGTGCTATTGAAACTTCTGTGACTAATGTCTGTACATGTGAAATAAACGTTGATGACATGATTTAAATTTTCATTTACCTTTTACACAAGTATTGTAAACTCTTTCAAACTACAACATATGGAATATTATTCTGCTGTTTCTGAATACTCAGTCGGTCTATGTGGAGGGAAGAGAACCTTATAGACTCTGAAGATACAAGAAGATGTAAGAGTAAAGTTAGAACAGGGAAGTACAGGGGGGTTGATTGAAAGCAGGTGGGCTATCCACCTGGTGGGGACGAGTTTGTGGCGCACCAGGCGCAGCTGCCCCACTAGTCCATGGGGGGGACCCTCCAGGTCTTGTGTCTATGGAGGGAAAAATCCCCATCTTTTTCTTTATTGTGTGTATATTGGTAGTGGATCTGGTTCTATCTGGGTTTTTATACTTCTTGGACACCAGTTGTGTGATGTATTATTGTTGTCTTGTGTAGTATGGGGTCCTGTGTTTGCTGGATTTTTTCCCGTATTGCATTTGCTTGGGTATGTATTCTGATGTTGAGTGCATCTATTTTGTGTGTGTATATCTTGAACTGTTGTACAGTCAACCCTCACTTTACGCGGTTAAAGTAACCCACAGGGTGCAGCGGAAAGTGAGGAACGCGTAAAGTGAATAACGTAACATATGGGATTAATTGAAATAGATTCCGGGCCGCCCCCAAACTCCACTTTTTGACGACACACAACTATGTTGTAGTAAAAATATTATCTTAACTTTATGATGGTATGCACACACAATTAATAATTAAGAGAAATATCAATAATATTAGGTGTTTTAACACTTACATTAGTAGAAAAGATGGCTGGGCACACGGGGATGGGCGGTTGGTTCCGAGGCAGAGGGCAGATTAATTATTGGCCCTCACCTGTATCACTTGTATCAATTGTATCACTATCCACCACAGAGGCTTGCAGGGCCTCTTTGTCAAACCCCCCAAAGTCCATATAAGTCCATATCCTCACTATAATTATCACTATCACTGACTTGGGCCAGCTGTGGTGGGTGGCGGGTGAAGAACTCGGTAATGTTTTGATGACTGGGAGACCTTGTACGCACCATGTTCGCGCCGCTTACACAACATGGCGGATGGCGGGAGGTTTGGATCCAAAAATGGCGCAGCTCGCCAGCCGCTCTCTGCGTCATGGGGTACACGCACCGCGGAATGTGAGCATGTTAGGTTCCGGCAGGGCACCGCTTAAACGTGGAAACGCGGAATGTGGGACCGCGTAAAGTGAGGGTTGACTGTATACAGTACTGTAGTAACTGTACAGTGGTCCCTCGGTTAACGAAATTTCAGGTAACTAATTACCTTCCATAAGAATCTTCAATTCGGTTAATGAACAAAAATTTGATTAACGAAATCCTTACGAACATCACGTTTTGTTGTGAGCATCAGCTGATGGGCTAGTCTGCCAATTCAGTTATCTGTTCTATGTTTACATTTGTTTCCAGTGGATTAAACATCAAGAAAGTTGTGCTCTTTAATATTTTTGCATTTTTTATATTAAAATTATTAGTCATTTAAGATTTATTTAACATATTGATAATATATGCAGTACAGGGAACTAGTTTTTTGTGCGTCCATCAGATGCTTGACTCGGCTACAAGGCGTCAGTTGGGCTCTGTTGACAGTGAAGTGTACTGTACATCTATTTTGTTGGTGTCTTGAACATTTTTGCATTTTTCATTAAAATTATTGGTCATTCTGAAATTTAGTTAACATATTGATAATATATAGCACAGTGCAGAGTTGATTTAAATAAAATAATCTTGAATTACACCTAGTGAACTTAAGATTTTATTGGTGAAATGACGGCATCAAGCATGGGTCCCCTGAAAGGTGATTTCTTCTCCATCACCACTTCCTTCTCTTCTCCCTTCTCCTCCATCCCCACTTCTAATTCCCATCATCATCATCAAACAGGAACCTTCTACGAACACTCCTCAAAGTAAGTGTACTTTACCTGTGCTGCATTTTTTTTTTTACTTTGTATGTACTTTTCTGTGAGCTGGAACCAATTACCTAATATCCCATTGAAACAATGGATTCGGTTAACGAAATTTTCGGGTAACGAACGATCCTATGGAATGAATTGTGTTCGCTAACCGAGGGACCACTCTATATGGAGATCTGTGTTTAGCCGCTCTTCTTAGGGCTATATTTTGCACAGCCTGTAGTTTTTGTTTGTTTGTTGGTTTTTTATATTGTGTCGAGTGGAATTCAGGGGTATTATAGATGAAGTCTAACAAGTGCTTTGTACAGGTGTTGCAGTGTTTAGGTTGCGGAATCGTCACGGTTTCGTCAGTCGTGCTTTGGCTATTGCAATTCTTTCATTGATGTGTGGGAGGGTACCAGTTCTTGTAATTTTAAGGCTTAGGATTTTTCCATTGCCTGTGTATGGTATGTGTTGGTTGTTTATGATTATCGGATAAGGTTTTGTTTTTACAATACCTGTATAATTTTGAGTGTGCATGTTTGTTTTTATTTTCCATTTTCTTTCATAGTTTTTCATGGTTTAAATCTCTCTGCTTATTCTTATTGCCATCATTTGTTTTGATTTCCCTGGGTATTGGATAATTTGGGTTACAGCATCTGCATATTCAACATATTCAGAGTTCCTTGGTTTTGGTATGTCTGCTGTATAAATAGTTTATAAAGTGGGTGACATATTGCTGCCTTGTGGCACTCTAATATAAAGGTTAAAAGTTTGTCCTAGATAGTGGCCGATGATGAATTTGGTTTCTCTGTTGTCTAAAAAGTTGCAAAGAAGAGCCATGATGTTTGGTGGCATGTTGACTTGGATAATCTTGTATTTTAGTCCTTCATGCCATACTTCCTCAAAGGCATTACTGAAGTCCCTTAATATTATGTTGCTGGCTTCATTTGCTATGGATTCATAAATTAAGGCTATTGCAGAGTTTGTACCTCTTTTTTTTAATACCGTGTTGTCTCGGGTTATATTTATCTTCGTAGTGTAAGTACTTTCTTAGTCTGTGGCTTATTATTTTTTCCAAGATTTTACCGGGTGTTTCGAGTAGAGAAATGGGTTTGGGCTCTTACCTTGTTTGGGTATGAGCGTATGAGCCTTACTTTTGCTGGAAATATCAGGCTGCTAATGAGGCACCGAAAATTTCTGCAAGTTTTTTTATCATTGGTGGTATGTTTTGCAGTGCGGTTTTGTTTATTTGGCTAATTCCCGGTGACTTGTTTTTAAAGCTGGTTTTTGTCTTAGCACTCTCCTTTGTGATTATTGGAGTAATTAGTGGGTTGCTTTTATCTGATGGGTTGAGGTTGATTGTCCCAATGGTAGTCATTTCTCTGTGTTCTGACTTAGGTGTGTGTTTTGAAGAACAATGGTTCCCAAACTACAGCTCAAACTGAGTTGATGTTCTATATAAGTAATCCCAACTATCTGGCTAACCTTCCACAAAAGATTCTCTTTGGGGCGTGGCTTCATAAAAGTGTTGCAGATCTCTTGAAACTGAATGTTCCAATCACCCCAGACGAACCCATTAATGCCATTCCTCCTTGGCTGGATATATCAGTTCCTATTAATTACACTCCTGTTGGTAGTAAGCAAATGTTAAACACCGATGTGGTGAGATGTGTCACACTAGAAACTATTAACAGACACATAGAGAGTATTAAATCAAGTGAATGTTATGCTTTTACTGATGGTTCTGTGCAGACAAACACAGGTAGAACAGGCTGTGCAATTGTAATATATAAAGAAAAAGAGATAAAGAAAAAGATGATAGTGTCAAACAAGCAAAGGCTGAACAACTGGGCCAGCACAACACAAACTGAACTAACTGGAATCTACTTGGCCACAGACTACCTTAAAGAAAATGGAGGTGGGTGATATTCTGTGACTCTCAAAGTGCTTTGAAATCAATGAACAGCCTGCCAGGCTCTATGTCTAAAGTTGTATGTGATATTAAAAGGAATGTGATAACTGCCAATGAGAACAACTTTCGCATCGAATTTGTGTGGATTCCGTCCCATGTTGGAATCAGGTATCATGACCGTGCTGATAGACTGGCCAATGAGGCATGTAAGAAAGAAAATGTTGACCGTGACCTTGGCCTGTCCAATGCTGTAATTAAAAACACTCAAGTCAGAGTCATGAACTCTGATCTAGAAGAAGTGAGAACTGCAGAGAGACCTGGCAGTTGTAGCATTAGTAAATATGACAAATTTTGTGAAGAGAGGTACCGGTATGGCCAGCATAAGGACAGAACCAGACAATGTGATGTAGTCGTGGCCAGAATTAGGCTAGGATACAGACACCTGGCAAGTTAGTAACGCTGTACCCATACCGGAACACTCAGCATGTAAACTTTGTGATAAATCTTTAAAGCATACACTTGAACACTATATTATTGAATGTGACACTGTCAAAGACTTCAGGCCACCTGACTTATTGTATCTTGAACTTTGTAATTACTACATTGAATCGGGGGTGCTTGAGGACATTCTTGCTGTTTATCCCAAATTTGTTAGCCCACACTGATTAGTCTTCAATTAGAATATGACTCCAATGTATGTGAACCACTGACCTATATATACTGCTAATGAATATGATGTATGTCTTTCTTTGTGTACGAACCTCTGTCCTGCATGGCAGTGAACAGTGACATTACCCACATGAATTTGACCTATATATAGTGTCAATGAATATGATGCATTTCTTTGTGTATGAACCTCTGTCCTGCATGGCAGTGAACAGTGACATTACCCACATGAATCTGACCTCTATACATATAGAGCTGTTAATGAATATAATGTATTTCTTTGTGTATGAACCTCTGTCCTGCGTGGCAGTGAGAAGTGATACTGCCGGGTACGTGATGTTTGGGATGAGATGGAGAAAGGAAACTCACAATGTGCTCTCTGTGTACTGCGCACATCATTGTCATTCCTAAAAATCCCATTTAATTCATATTCCGCTACATAACATTGAAATCCACCGCGCTTGTAGAACCTCAGAAAACGGGAAACATTGATAAAGGACAACTCACCT